ATTCTCATGTAGCCTAAGCTAGCCTGGAATAGGATGGCCTTGAACGCCTCCGCCCCTTAAACTCCTGATTCTCTTGCCTCCTCCACCTCCCACCTTTTAGCATTACAGGCTACACCACCACATCTGATTTCTGTTTGTTTTTTAAATTCAGTAATTGTACATTTTCTTTCTCCTAGGAAACAAGATAAAAAGAATATTTCTAATCAATCTATTTAAAGATTAGCATATCTTCAGTGCCAATTCGCCTTGTTGGATTTTTTTTTTCAATTGAGTGCTTTAAAGAAATGGAAATTACTTTGTACTTCACTGCATGATGGTGAGAAAATGGAGCATTGGAGTACCCTCTCTCCTACAAAGGGAAAATTAAAGTATTCAAGACATAAATCTGATCATCTCAAGAACTGGTTCCCAGCCTAAGAAAGGGCAGCCCAGGGACACTCGGGATTTGAACTCACTCCTGTATGATCTGTACAGTCACTGTGATTTGTGATTTATGTATTACACATGCTGCTGCACCCTATGAACTTAACGCTGAAATGTTTTATGGAATATCTTGCCTCAGATTCTGTCTTACAAACCTTATAAATAGGATTAGTCACCGCACTGGAATGCCTTCTGTAGAGACTCAGTTCTAGCTATCATTCTTCAACTTTCAAATACCTCGATTCTAATTTGCATATTTTAATTTCCGTAGACTCTCACAGACATAAGCCTGGTATGGTAGGTTTACACTGTAATCCCGGCACTCTGAAGGCTGAGGCCGTAGGATGGAAGTGAGTTCGAGGAAAGTCACGTGACACGTACAGTGCCCTTCCTGCTGGCGGCTGCCTCCCGCCTACTGTGTTTTCATTGTGGAGGTAGTTTAATTGGAAAAGGATATTTTACTGTCACTGAAGGCTCAGGAAATTTAAGTGGAACGCCAGACCCAGTGTTTTCCGTGACTAGTTTTGTTTCTGGAAATGACAAATGTTTACGATTTTGCACTTCTAGATAGTATGTTTTACCAAAATACCAGCGCCCGTGCTAAGTCACCCAGTGCCATATTGTAATACGACCTCCTTTCTCTCCACAGCCACAGCCCTTTCAGACAGCATAAAACCAAAGATAAACATGAGATCGACCGACGGACCCTGACGGTGGTAAGAGGGTTAAAGACGATGTTCCTCTCTCCTGCCTGGTTTTCACGTCCCATTCTGACACTGATGACACGCCTGTGAAATAAAACACACCGTAGACTAATGTAAGGTGCTCTGGGGCTGGGGAGACAGCCCAGTGAGGAAAGAACTTGCCACACAAGCATGAGGACCTGAGTTCAAATCCCCATAACCCTTGAAAAGCCAGACTTGGTATCCATGTCTGTAAGCCCAGTGTTGCTGTGGGGCGATGAGAGGTGGAGATGGGAGAGTCCCCGGAAGGTTGTGGGCCACCCACACTCTCAGACAGGAACATGCATGCATGTATCATCCACAGATAGAAACTAAAAACCATGAAAATGTGCTTCTTTGAAATAAATGCACGAAGTTAACCATTCCTAGAAAAATTTCAGAAAGAAAAAAAGAAAAAACCAAAAATAGACACCAGGGCAAAAGATGAGATCTGTACAGAGAATAAGAAAGATTTGGAAGGACTGCGGAAATCAAATAAAGGAGATTACCCCATGCCGCAGAGGGCGGGGCTGCCGAGGCTTCAGATCTGGCCCGAGCAAGCTGGTGGATTCTGAAACCAATTAGTAGCCATTTTATGTCCTGTGGAGTAAACATTAACCTATACCGGATTTGTTGTTTCTGATACTGTTCTTGGGCAAGGAACAGCTTGACCTTCTCTTCTCTTTCTAGAATGTGGAGCTTCCGGATGCCTTCTCTCCCGAGCTGAGGTCGCTCCTGGAGGGTTTGCTCCAGAGAGAAGTCAGCCAGCGGCTGGGCTGCTGCGGAGGCGGGTAGGCCAGCATGTCTGCCTGTCTGTGACTTTATCCAAAGGGAAAAGAATGGTTTTCATGAGTCAAGTTATTCCCAGACCTTAACATCTACTAGGGGAAGAGGGGTAGCATGGGGAGTTGAATTAGCTTCTGTTCCCATTCTGACAATACCTGACAGAAACACCCTAATTGTTTGGACCCACAGTTGCAGAGGGTTTAGCCCTTGGTGGCCAGAAGACAAAGCAGAGTTGTTCAGTCCCTGGTGGCTAGAGTGTGGGCTGCTTCTCACACCTCAGCTGCCCAGGGAGCCAAAGCCAGAACCTCAGGATTCCTTCAAAGCCCAACTCCCAGTAAACCACCCCAGCCATCCCAACCCCATGTCCTAAAGACTCCACAGCCTCCCAACACAGCATCACCAGCTGGGAAACAAGTGTTCAAAGGAGCCTGTGAGAGAGAGAGAGAGAGAGAGAGAGAGAGAGAGAGAGAGAGAGAGGATAGAGAGAGAAGAGAGGGCAGAGGAGAGAGAGGAGACGGGAGGAAAGATAGTGAGATAGTTGTGGACTTCCATTTTTCTACCAGCTATAGTGAGAACAGGTTGTGGTCTCTCTCTATAGACCAGCACTGTCCTGCACAGTCCATAGGTTTCCTGTGCTCCGGGTTTGGGTCTGCTGTTTACCTGACCCCGAGGCCTCTGCTTCCCTGGGCCCCCACTTTTTAGATGCAGTGTGTTCCCAAATATCTCCTTAGAGGCTGTGAGGGGCAACGCTCTAGGTTCTTAGGTGTATGAAATTCCTCCCTGCTGGCCTTGAACCTTGACAGATGTTGTGCATAGACAGGGACCTACAAATGATCAAGGTGTCCCCCAGAATGTTGCAAATCTGGCTCTATGTTGTCAGGGCAGCTCGGGGAACTCAGCTACCCCTCTCCATGCCACCTGCTTCTGCTTCCCGCACAAAGGCTGGTGCTCTCCAGCTCAGGGGACACTCATTCTAATTTATGCATTTCTTCCCCTATGTTCCTCTTAGAACTTGCCACACAAGCATGAAGACCCGAGTTGGGATGTTGGGATTGGTGCGGTAGCCTTTGCTCCTGGGCTCGGGGTCCTGTGTCACCTCTTTCTTGACGTCTTCTTTTACTCCCTGTATCATTTAAATTATTGCTTTGAGTAATTTCTTTTTAAAAAAAAGTCTTTAAGCAGGTTTGATCTCTCAAGTGTCAAACCTTCCACTCCGCCCCCCGTGGGAATGTGTGGCTGGCTGTGGGTATTTGATTAGGGGGTGGGGTTGAGGCTTTCCTCCAAAGGGTAAACATGGATGTATGTGCCTAGGTCAGCAGTTCCAGACAGAGTCCCAGCCCGATGGCACAACACAGACACTCACGTGCACACACAGACACACACATGCATGCACACATACATACATGTACCTATATGTGCACACCCAGGCATACAAGAACACACACACTGTATACACACTGTATACATGGCTGGAATTCAGCACACACGTTCCACCCATCATCCTAGACCCTCTGTCCACTTTCATCCTGCCTATAGATAGCCCTTGCCTGGCTGGGCATGTGTCTCCACGCTCCACCCCAGTGGTTCCTGTGACCTCAGGGAAGGGAAGGGAGCCAGACCAGAGCCCCCTCTTAGGGTTCCTTCTGCATCTTGCTTAACCTGTCCTCAGTGTCCACCATAGGAACAACAGTAAAGGGGGGCCGAGCAGGAACTGTCCCCACTATCCCTCATGTTACTGATGGGAATATGGAGGGACCTGCCTTACCTCCATCCCTCCATCCATTCACCTCTGAGCACTTGCTAAGTGCAGGGCTGGGGTGTAGTGTGTAGGGGTACATGCCCTTTCAGGGAGTTGCATCCTTCCTGGGAGATGGCAGCAGGTCAGCATGATGAGTTCAGATTGGGAGAGGGGCTGTGAGGGAAATATACATAGCAGTGTGCTGGGGCTGGTGTGTGTCTGTGAAGGGGATAAGGGAGAGCATTCTGCAGTGAGGGTCAAGGAGGGGGGAGTCATGCTGCTGTTCAGTAGGGAAAGAAGGCTGGGGTAGGTCAGTGTGGGTGGAGGAGAAGGCCGGTGAAGAATGACTCAGAGGGGCAACTCTGGCCTGGCCTCCTTGGCCCTCAAATCACCAGGTGCTGCTGGGCTTTGCTGCCAGTGCTGTGGGAACCCTCCGGAGAGTTCTAAACCTGGCGCAGGATGGGATGGCAGCCATCATGGGTACAAGTGGAGGCTGTGAGCCAGGGGTTATGTGAGCATCCCAGGAGGTAGCCGGGGACTTTGATGTTCTCCAGAAGGGGGCTGCTCATGGCAGGATACATGGCTTCTCATGTCCTGCCCACCTGTGCCAGAACCACAGGCACATCCACAGGCTGCTCTCCTGCAGTGTGGGAAGGCTGGAGGTAGAGGAGGTGGCAGGTCTAGAGTGTTTGGCTGGAGAAAAGTCAAGGATGGAGGCGTGGGCTGGGACATCTGCCCAGTAGGGGAACACTTTATGCATCTATGTGGGGATGCTGAGTCAGTGCCTGGCCTATCCACAGGCTCTGGAGCCTGGGAGCTTGGGGACAGGCTCATGGCAAGGGCTCATAGAAGGGTTAGTAAAGGTGTTTTGGTTAGGGGTACGCCAGGGTGTTGGGCACAGGCTGAGGACTAACTCTGGGCTCTAGGATATAGACCAGATCACAAGAACCTCTGCTGGGTACAGAAGACAGGCCTGGATTTAGCCTGCAGCCTCTGTGCTGTGTACACTTGACCTTAATCACAACCCTCTGGAAATGTATTTATTCTTCTGATACAGGGGCTAGGCACACACTGTGCCTTTGGGTCCCTAGTTTGCATCTAAGTAAATACTGGATGCTTCGGATTCCTCTTGCTTTCCTTCCCTCTGCGCAGCAGGGCTCATTGACATTTGCTGAAAATGCTGTAATGTATGGCTCTCATTCTTTAAACCCTGTTCTCAGGCACAGAGTACAGAATTGTGACTATGCTGTGTCAGAAACAGACAGACCACAGTGCCAGAAGTTGTGGAGTAACAATAAATTCACCAGGGATGGGGGAGGTTGCCGTGGCAGTGATTGCCAGATGCTCCCTCTTCCTGTGGTGATGGGGCTGAGGTAAACACAGGTTCTTTTATCCCAACCTTAATTACTAGTATTAACTCATATCACACATGGGCACACAGAAAATATATCTCTATATGCAGCTATGTAGGATATAGAATAGATTTAAAGGGTTAAAGAGGCTACAGCGGAGCTCAAGGGGTTTCAGGAGTGGCTGATAGAAATGTACGTGGAGTCTGGATTGATAGGATATGGAACCTAAACTGGCCCAGAGAAGAAGCTGCTGTTGTGAATCAGGTCCCTGGGGGCCACAGGGTTGAGGGAGAACTGTCAGCTGAGTCGTTACAGAGGCTAAAGGGCAGGACCCGGACCAGAGGAGAGAATGGGTAGACGGATAGTCAGAGGTCCAGAACAGGAGGGTGGACAGTTACATAGGCCCCACCAACCGTGGGGATGGAGCCATGCTGAAGCCCCGGAGACAGCTGGGAGTTTTCTGTCAGTACTTGACATATACACCAGGCAGTCAGAGGAGAGCTCGGTGGGGAGGGCCGTCCAGTGCAACATTAGGTGTCCACTTCTTTATGGGTCCAGGTGAGGAACATACACCTTTTCCTTGATCTGGTGTGTCCTGAATGTTCTTGGGCCTGGTTTCCCTGTCCATGTGCCTCTGCAGCCTTGTTTCACCCCAATACATGTCTACCACCAGCAGTACGTCATTCAGCAGCTGGGCTGGATGGTGGTGCCTGACAGACACAGTTCTGCATCCACCCAGGGGCCATGGTCATCCTGCCTCAGAATGCAGTCAGAGCTGCTTGTAGAGCGGAGTCTTCTGGGGCCAGGCACAGCCTGAAAAGCCACCGTTCTATACAATATGGGGTAACAGAGCAGGGCAGAGCCTGACCTCAACAGGATTGTCATGTCTGTGCAAGTCATGTCTCTACATTCCAGTCTTCTACCATTCAGGTCTTATTTGCATACGTGTGCATCTGTGCCTTATGTGAAAGGTGTGTGTGTACTGATGTGTGGAAGCTGCCAGGCTGTTTAAGCTGCAGTGAACACCTGGGTAAACTGGGGCATCTTTCCAGGTCCAGAGTCAGTGTTTCTAAAGTAGCGTCTTTCCCTTCCCTCCCTCCCTCCCTCCCTCCCTCCCTCC